CAGTGGCGCGCTCGCTCCAGTCAAGTTTTTCCAACCGTCTCTGCTCTGTAACGTTACTCGTCTGTTGAGTGGGAAGTTAAATTTAACGGCATTTGTACATCTTTTTGCACGATGGAGGGTACGTTTTAATCATGTTAGATTGTTTTCCTGTTTAGTTAAGATTTCGACTGTTAGATCTCATGATATTTCGATTTTTGGCGTGCCACGCATAGTGTTAATGAATGCCGTTGACTTAACTGTTTAAGTTATATAAATATATGACCTACCCCAACCAGTCCCTAAACCTACCCGTCACTGGGGTTAATAACGTTAACGTTACCATTTATGAGTCGTCCTCTACCATCCTTGATGTATTGTGTATTGACATGATTAAAATCTTGCATTAAGGCCTGTTTCTATTTCATAATTCAACCTGCAATAGCAGTATTGAGTCAAATTAGTCGTTACTAGTGCTTGAATCACCTAAAGAAGAAACATGAACTGGTTAACTGGAGTTTACTGGAAGTTTACTTTTCTGCAATACAATAAGTAGGTCTAACTTTATCGAGGTAAAAGTTTCCCCGCTGTCACCAGACGTAGGTCTAGGAGTGGAGAGAAGAGTGACAAAATCACGGTAAGGCTGTGCAAAGAAAGTAGGCTATTGCCATGTCAGTGTATTGATTGATTCATTGTCCCTTCATAGTTTGTAAGAGTCAGAGACTTTTCAGGTTGGATGTATTTAATAAACTGAGCGAAGCCTATTCATCTGGTAATATGAAATGCGACTTGGCCATTGTAATTAAGGCTACACATCTTGTTACTGTACAACTTAAACCCATGGTAACGTTAGCTAGGTAACTTAACGATAAACAAACTGAAAGACCGCAATTCCTGGTTTCGACTTCGTTCACTAAACTTTCCCATCAATAAACGTGTTGTAAAAAACATAACTTATTAGATTTAAGACCTAGATTCGGTAGCTAGTTCTGTGACTGCCTGTGACCGCTATGGTGCGCGCGCCGCTCACCCTGGTCGACGAGAACCCGCATGAGAGATGTGACGTAGGACGTAACCCCGCCCCCCGGGCGAGATGCCCCAAAATTTATGAATCCCCACCGTAAACGGGATTAATGAATGTTTTTTTTAAAAAACATGTAGCGCTCATGTCTGCACTGTAAAAAATAACCTTGATTTTAACGGTAAAAGACTGTAAAAATGCTACAGTGCAAAACTGTTAATAGGTAAACAGAAAGTTTCCGTAATATACACAGTAAATAACTGTGATATAATTTTACAGTAAAATACCGTTAAATTTATAGTTTTTGAACGTGAAAAAGAACAACTCATTGTATAATTTACAGTGAAAAACCGTAAATTGACATTCCTACAATTCCCTGTGTGACACTTCACATTTTATGTATTTTTGTTGAAATAACTATGGTTCCTCATAGTTTTATTGTTTTTTTTTCTAATCAGTTATGTACATTAGGGTTTTATGTTACATTTGATGTTGTTAAACTAATGTTTATTGCATTTTTTTAATTTCATGTGTGTTACCATGATGGTGCTTAATGTTTGTGTGAATGACATTGTGCAGCTTCTTTACATAAGTATTGCTTTATACAAGTGTTCACTTGTGATGAGCTGTGATTGCTCATGTAACTCATCACTGCTGTGATGATTGTTGGTTGTCAGTGTATTACAATGGTCTAAAACAGATATCAATACATCAATAAGTTGGTAAATCTACATTTTATCAGAAAATAAAACACGGTTAATTACTGTAAATTTTAAGTTAAGTCTGTAAAACCATTAACGTTCCTACCGTATTTTTAACGGTAAAGTTCTGGCAACCACAGCTGCCGGTTATTTAACCGTCAAATTTACGGTTTATTTTTTACAGTGTGCCCTTTGAACGATGCTCTGTGGATCTGAAAAAACGTATCACCGCCTAAAATACCTGTATGTCCAGAGGTGTGGCTAAGTATCCCAATTTTACACTCAAGTTCCATTGGCCTTTTCTGAAGACGTCCGAGGTGTTTGAGGCTCCCAGAGTGACCCCTAGTGTCAGCATTTCGACACAACGTCTCTGTTTCAGGGACGTTTTTTGTCCCCTCTATTTGGTTTAAACTTAAGTTAACCTTTTAACAACTAAAATCAGAATCAGTTTTATTGTTGTCAGGGTTCTGTCACTTCTGTCTAGTCTATTTCTTGGTTTTGTGACAGAGCCCTGACACTCTTGTTTTGTCTTGTCTGTGTGCCTTCCTTGTTTTATGTGCAGGGCGTGGTGTTTGCATCCCAGCACTTCGGTCTAGTTTTTGTATTTCGTGTTTGTATTCTGTTATGAGTGAGCTTGCGGTTTCGAGTTCGCTCGAATCGAACGCTCGTCTGTCTGCGGGAGTTGTTGTGTTCTGTGTAGCACACGGTTTGTGTTTACATCGGCCACATGCTTTCATGTCGTGTTTTGTCTTGTGCTATGCTGTGTAGCATGTTTACGCTGGCTGTGTGCTTTCGTGTTGTCATGTTTTGTGTGAACACGTTTCTTATGAGTGTTTTCATTAGCTGTGTGTTCATGTCTCTTATTTGTGAGCACATGACTTGTGATTTGATTTACTGGCAATGTGTTTTTGTAATGTTTGGTGTGAAATATGTCTATTGTCTAATAGACTGTCTCTCCTGTCTATTGTCTAGCCCTGCCCTTCTTGTTACCTGGCTGATAATCTATTCATTTTCCCCACCTGACCTGTACTTTTCCCTAGCTGTATTTACACTGTTTTATCGTTGCTTTTGTTGGTAGGATTAGTAACTTGCCTTTTTGTGAGTTCATTTTCTACTCAAAATGACATATTCAAACACCAAATCCATCAAATCAAATGTTACCATTATTTTGTATTGTCTACCAAGGTCGCTGCGTTCACTGGGTGTATATCTTCCACAAAGCATGTATTTACTTAAAAGTTTATAAAGTATATACATAAGAAGTGTGCTTTTTTTATTCCTGTTTATATTGTTCAATGAAATGTATGTAGAAATGGGTATCAAGAAAATAGATATTACTCAATCTTTTATTTACAAAGTTAAAATGACTTATTTTCTTTTCTAACTTTCACTTAACTTAGTTAAGTAGAGTTTACTTAATTCCATTTATGTGAAATTTATTTAAAAATATGCGTGTGAAATTTACTTTCAAAAATAGTGCAACTTGCCAAGGAAAAATTAAGTAAATTTTACTCTCTTTTTTTCAGTGTACTCTCCTCCTGATTCTCCTCATTTCATAATTGTACCTTCAGTCTTTCTTCATGCCTTTGCCTACGCATTTCTCTGAATTGACTTGGGTTATTCAAACAATTGGAGCATTCTTCTATCCTTAGGCGAGTGGCGTGTTTGACTAGATGTCAGTAAAATCTAAGCTGTGTGCAGGTTTTTTTCTGGCAGCACACATTTCACATTTTTTTGCAACTCTAAACTCGAATTTGTAATTCCTCAAATCCACTCTGAGAGAAAACATAACATTGTACTAGAGCAAACTCATTCACCCTAATAAATCCACCCAGTCGTATATTTTGGCTAATTTTATACCATTCACTATTTAATTAAATTTAATGGCTTGGACAGAAGATAAAGTATAAGGGGAAAAAAAGACACTCTCAAAACAAATTACATACAGGACTTCTTTTTACTGAATCCGAGGTACACCGGAGTCAATGTTTTCCTCAATGCTAATGCGATTGTATTGACTACTTTCCCTAATTAGCAAAATTAGTAAATGTGTTTTCACTCACCGCTACCAAGCCTCATGAAAATTGCACTCCATCCATGACACAGTCATTAATGCAGTGCCTGCTATTTTTCCTCCGGATGAACGCATTATTACTTTATGTACACTTAAGTTTTCAAAAACATCCTCTTTTGCCCCCAGTTGTTTCGAAGCTCTTTCTGTGTGTTTTTCTGGTACTTTTGCTGGCATTTAATGGCAGTGGAGGTCTTAACCTGATGTGTGCTCACTCATCTGTGTTGATGGTGTTTTAGAGGGCCGCTGTTTTGAGCATGGGAGTTAAAGGACTCAGGAGTCGCCTTATTTCATACTCCGCTAATGGCATCGAGAGGCGTTGACCCCTGTGAAATGTGTCTCGAAAATCAAATGCAGGGATCTGAGATGTGCAAATGGATTAGCAATACTAATCTGGAGGGATGATGGTTTCAATTAATGTTTCAGGCGGGATTGCCTTTCTGCATGCTATATTAGTAGGGTCGGATATTAGAACAGTTTGATTTGTCATGGAAATTTCCATAGGACACGTTAAATTGATCAAAAGTGACAGTGTTTCAAAAGTTTTCAGTTTCAAATAAATGCTGTTCTTTTGAACTTTCTATACGTCAAAGAATCGTGAAAAAATTGCATCACGTTTTTTTTTTTTTTTTAAAGTATCCGCATTTTGGGATATCCAATAAAAACACTGGATGGAAAAGCCGAGATGCGCATACATTCTAGAAATGCATATAAAAAATGTATTCGTTCAGTTGAGGTTGAGATTTTTTATCCGATAAGAAGAAACGAAAATAAACAACGATGGAAACGCAATTACCGAGTAAATCCTTTGACAACAAACAAACTCACATGACTTTACCTCAACAGTGGCTGTGATTGGTTAATTGGACTAACCAGCAGGCGAATTGCATCACATTATCTCAAATGTTGGTTTGATCAATCTGAAATGCCTATATTTAATATTAATATCAGGACGTCTCAAGTGATTTACATGTTAATTTATTTTTAGTATGCTTAGTATGAAATAAATGTATTTGAAATAAATTTTGGTATAGTTTTTGTCACTAGGGGAGTAAAGGACCTATCAGCCTGCGCCATCTAGAGTTTCATGACTGAACTTTGTATTCTTTTCTCTGATAATCAATACAATGTCAGTTTAGGTTTGATTATGTTGAGCATTCCTTCATAATGAAAATGCATTCATTAACACCATTTTAATAATTCATATTTCTCCTGTGTTCTTATTTTGCAGACCATGTGGTTTGTGAAGAAGAGTTTAAGTATGCCATGTTGGCCCTCAACTGTGTGTGTCCTGCCACCTCCACGCTGATCACCTTGTTAATTCACTCCTCTAGAGGACAGTGAGTATAAATCGTCCATCTTTTACTCACTCACTTCTGATAGCCAGGATTTTGACTACAGAATTAAATCTAATCAGATTGTAGATTATGAACTTAAAGGGAGAGTTCACATAAAAGGAAAATTCTGTCATCATTTACTCACCCTCAAGTTGTTCTAAACCGGTTTTAATTTCTTTCTTCTACTGAATACAAAAGAAGATATTTTGAAGAATGTTGGTAATCAAACAGTTCAAGGACTTCCATAGTATTTTTTTGCATACTATGGAAGTTAATGGGCCCATTTAAGGTGTCGATATCACTGGCGAAATCCAGTCATTTGAATAGGAATCTGTGCGATTGGAGTTTCACGTGAGGGTGAAAGATTACCCCACACAGATTTCGCTCATTTTCAAGTTGGTCATGAGAATTTGCTGCACTGAACAACAGAAATCTGCTTGGTTTTTTAAAGTGTCTTCTTTATACATTGCTATGATATTATAGACCATTAGGTAGTAGATGTCACACTTACATCACTGCAGTAGTGGGGGGAAATGGTCAAAATCCATGGAATAATGCAAAAAAAGTATTGTGCCTTTTGGAATATAAAAAAAAAAAATCATTTTTATAGAATACCGTCTATACCATCGTCGTCGAATACTTCCTTTTTAGTCCAAAAACAGCCCTTATTAAAACCATGCTCAGAGAACGACTCGTTTTGGAATGATCTATTTAAGACATCATGGATCTGTGAAAGACGGCCATTACAAGATCAATGCCTACACTGTAAAAAAATATTTTCAAGATTTGTTATCACAACATATTTTATTTTGTCAAATCAACTTTATAATAATTTATTTAGTTGAGAACTTATTATTTTGTTTCTGATGGTTAAATAAATCTACTTCATTGTATTAACTCACTTTTTCCAGTTCAATCAACTTAAAAAAGTAAGTAACCTGGGTTGCCTTAAAATTTTAAGTTAAACCAACAATATTTTTTTTACAGTGTAGTAATCACAACATTTTTTCTTTTGTCAAATCAACTTAAATAATTTATTTAGTTCAGATAACATATAATTTTGAGTTTCTGACGGTTAAATTAATCTCCTTCATTGTATTAACTCACTTTTTCCAGTTCAATGAACTTCAAATTTTAAGGCAACCAGGTTACTTACTTTTTTAAGTTAAACCATCAATATTTTTTACAGTGTACTTCTACATCATTAGCAGTAAAGCCCCGCCCAGTGTTTCGTAAATGACAAGTAGTATGTAAATAACAAAATTGACCCTAACACAATGCTCATTACTGCAACCTTTCATGCCACGATCCAAATATAATGATATGGATCTAAATATAATGCGATAATCACAGCAGTGGGCGTTTACACTGAAGTCACAGCAGACACGCCCCTTCAAACAGAGAGCTAAAATCAGGGTAGGAAAAATGCCTTTAATTTTTAAATGATGACCATTTTCGATGTATAAATCATACTAACATTATAAGTGCACCCCTGGAAACATTATAAAATCATAAAATAGTGCAGTTTATGGCCCCTTTAAAGCATCAATTTGATATAAATAATAAATTGCCATAATACACTCATATCCAGTTCATAGATGGCATAATATATTGGCCCTACAGTTATAGCATGAAATGCTATTTAAACCTATAACATTTATATCTCACAAATCAGATTTTATAACTCACAATTGAAAAAAAAAAGAGTAAAAAAGTCGCAACTATCTTGCAATTATCTTTTTATATAATGTGGCTTCCAAAAACTTTTACTGTAGAACGGTCACTTAACTGGCACCAGGTAGGCTCCACCCACAAAACACATCATCGCTGTTTTCCAAAATGGTCTGCACATCGCTACACTATTTACGCCTGCAAAATTTCGCTAATGTAATAGCACCTTTAGACAGGAAGAGATCTTTTGACTAACATTGCAAGTGACCAACCACATTTGTGTACATTTTTATCTGTAATATGTATTTTTGAGGGTAATACATGAATAAAACTTTCTCCGTCTGGTTCTCTATAAAAAGACATTGGTGGCACTTTTGATATAGTATAGATGTGAATATATTTACTCAAACATGCCTGAAATAGAACACAATGCCCTGTAGATGATGTGCTTGTGCTGCATCACAGATCTCTGTGCATTAGTGAGAAGTTCTGTTTAACGGTTTCATTTTTTTATTATCAGAACAGCATCTTCAGAGGCCTTCAAGCAGCGAGCGGGTGCCTTCCAGCCGCTCAACAGGTCAGACCCACCGACTGTAAAATATTGACCCATACACATAGCGGTAAAGATCCCATAAACTGTGAATTTACCTCTGCGTCATTCATCCTTGTTTCTTCACCTCCTCCATCTTAACACTCCCCCACTCCCTCTGGATCTCACCTTCCCTACATCTTCTCAGCCATTCGCAGGGATGTCAAACACACATCAAGCAATTTTTATATTCTCTGCCCATCTGTAAGATCGTTTTTTCCCAAGCTGACTGCAGGCTGTGGAAACATTTTAAGGACATGTCAAAGAGTTCACTCAAAAATATAAAATATTAAATTCTGTCATCATTTTCTCACCCTCATGTCATTCCAAAATACGTTTGTTCATCTTCAAAAGACAAATTAAGATATTTTTAATGAAACCTGAGAGTTCCCTTTCCAGTGAGAACTCGCACTGTGTCCTCTAGAGCAGGGCTTCCCAAACTTTTCCATGACAAGGCCCCCCAAATACCACTAGGTTCTGGCCAAGGCCCCCCTTTTGCGGGATGTGTTATTGAACCCATCAACAATACTACGGCAAATGTAGAAATAAATAAATAAATAAAACATCTAGGTGATCATCAGATTATGTGATTGTGTTTGATACCAATCAGAAAGATTATATAGAGATGCACCGATAACAATTTTCTAGGCTTTTCTGACATAGACTACTCCAGTTCTTGTTAAAAAACACTAGTGCATTTTAGGAACTTTTTGAGTGAAATCATATTTATTTTGTCCATCAAAAATGTGCTTTAATTGAGCGTGAGCAGCGCAGCAAAAAAAGACTCGGCGTCAAAACCCCCGCTTCAATGCTGCTCATGCGACGCTTCTGCTCCCGGTGTGAGTGTATGCACTCATTGATTAACATGCACACCGAAAAACAATGCTCACGCACCACTCGTGCTTGCGGTCTGAAACGGCTGTAATTTACTAGGTTTCCTACATGAGTCTTCCGGGATGCTGATGTTGCGGGATGTTAATCATGCGATGATTTCTACAGCCTCCTGGACATACTTGTTTTTAGGTTGAGTGTTGTTAGGTCTCCTCGCTATAGACTGAGAGTCATACCGTTGAGAGCTCTGCCCCTAGAGCTACACATAGATATTAGTCTCAGGGAGGGTTGTTGCTTGTCTTCCTCTTGTTTTGAGAGTCGTCTTGTTAGGCCCCCACTCCCCAGAGCTTTGTATAGACTTCCTATAGGCTTCCTCTCATTTTAGAGAGTTGTTCTGTTAAGGCCCCTGCTCCCCAGAGCTCCACATCGTAGTTTTTCAAGATTTGTTTTACTCCTTAGACTCCTTAGTACAAGTACTTCAGTGTAGATTGTAGATTGTAGACCTCCTCTCTTTAAAGAGAGACATTTTTGCTGAGGTTTCCGCTATTAACAGACAGTTAAACTGGAAAGTCTGTACAGTCTTAAGGTTGAGTTTCGTTTGAAAGAGTCGTTTTGCTAGGCCTCCGCTCTGTAGAGCTCTGCTTAGACAGTATCTTTAGTAAGTATGGCTCTGGAAGCCTCTTTAGTGTGACGATTTCTGGCGTAGAGTTTAGTTGGGATTTCTCTCGTTTTAGAGAGTTGTGTTGCTGAGTCCTCTGCTCTTAGAGCTTAGTTCAGACAGTAGTACTGGAGACTCCATGGAGTCTTAAGGGTCTTATGGGTTGAGTGTTGTTAGGCCTCCTCTCATTCTAGAGAGTCATTCTGCCGAGGCCTCTGCTCGCAAGAGTTACGTAGAGACAGTATTATCAATTGGTTCTTTGTAACTTCTTTGATGGAACTGTCTTTGGTGTGTAGGGTGTAGTTAGGACTCCTCTTGTTTTTGGAGAGTAATTTTTTTGAGGCCTCTGCTCTCAGAGCTCTGTACAGACAGTAGACCTGGAGTTGTAGGCTCTTGGGGAGCCTCCTTGGTTAACTGTCTTTAGGGTTGAGGGTCGTTAGGCCTCCTCTCATTCTAGAGAGTCATTCTGCTGAGGCCTCTGCTCTCAGAGCTCCATACAGACAGTAGACCTGGAGTTGTAGGCTCTTGGGGAGCCTCCTTGGTTAACTATCATTAGGGTTGAGAGTCGTTAGGCCTCCTCTTGTTTTAGAGAGTCGTTTCTTCAGAGGTCCGCACAAACAGTGTTATCAGTATGATGGCTATTTAGGAACCTTTTGGATGAGATGTCTGTGGCATAGAGTGTTATTAGGCCTCCTCTCATTTTAGAGGGTCATTTTGAAGAGGCCTCCACTCCTGGAACTTCTTACTGACAGTAGCAATAACGCTGTAGCCTCTTTGTAAAGCCTGCTTGGTTACTGTCTTTAGGGCTGAGTGTTGTTAGGCCTCGTCTCGTTCTAGAGAGTCATCCTACTGAGGCCTCCGCTTCTCAGGTCTCCGCACATACAGTATTGTCAAGCTGTATTGCTCTTTGGTAAGACTGTCTCTGGCTTAGAGTATGGTTAGGCCTCCTCTCAGTTTAGAGAGCCTTGAGAGTCTGCTCTTTGAGCTTTGTTTAGCGTATATGGCTTAGCGCAGTAGTACTCCCCTTGCCTTTGAGTCATTATGCATAGTAGGCCAGGGTTAATGTGATTTGGCTTTGGCCATATTCTCTTTAAGGAATCTCTTTTTAAGTATGGTTCCAACCATTTGAGCCAGGGGTGGGGGACACAATCGATACAGTATAGTAGTACTATAGTAGTAGTATGATATTTTCTGTGGCAATACTGTATCGATACACGGGCGACAAGTACGGGCAAGTGATGAAACCGGTGTTGCGACTGAACACGTAACACCAACTATCGTAGCAAGCCTGGAGCTCATGTGAGAGATCTCCTATTCAGAGAATAATTACATCCTGTCCTGTGTCCTGAATTTTCAAGAACAAGTTTTTTGAGCACTTCAGTTAATGTGTAGAAGATAATGTTTACAGAATTCAATGTGACATTTAATTAAAGTGAGTTGAGCAGTCTTATTTTGCTAATTTTTTGTGATGTCTTTGAATAATATGGGGAACATGAATCGCAATATATTGCTTGTATCGCAATATATCGAGTATCGCAATAATATTGAATCGTGGCCCAAATATCGCGATACTATCGAATCGTCACATTGTTGCCAATTCCCACCCCTAGCCAGTGTCTCGTTCCACTTCTCAGGGAACAATCGTTACATGCGTAACCTGAGATGATTTCTGTCCCTCCATTGACAGTCCATTTGCCCAAAACGTTGATGCTTCAAAAAGCTATATTTGATGTGCCCCACAATGTGCGTTGATTATGTTTATCTGTGAGCAAAAGCCTAAAGATGTTCTTCATATAAAGTAATTGTATCTATTCACAAGACTTGGATTAAACTGCTCAATTCATATGGATTACTTTCACAATCTCTTTATGACCATTTTGGAGTGTCAAAATGGTGGTGTAATGGACTTTTTTTAAACAGAGGAACTAAAATTTCACAGGTTTCATTAAAATGTCCTCCTTTGTGTTTCAATGACGAAAGAAAGTCAACATGAGGGTATAAACGATGATAACATTTAAGATTGTGAGTGAACTATCCTTTAAATCTTTGGAAATAAATTGTGAAAACATTTTCAAAAGATCATCCATGTCTGTCTCTCAAAGGGAAGGCGCTGCTGGCTCAGTCGACCAATGGCAGCGCACCTACAGGCGCTGTGCGGCCAATGAAGTGCACCACATCAGACTGGAAGAGAGCAAGTTTTTTGGAGAATATCAGGGAAAGAGTTTCACCTTTGCCTCCTTTCACGCACATAAAAAGTAAGCCTCTGGATTAAGCTCCATTGAATCCGTTTGTTTTATTTCCACTATACGCACACAATAACACTGTTAACTGCTGTGGCAGATACGGGGTGTGTCTGATCGGGGTGCGCAGGATGGACACAGCCAATATCCTCCTGAACCCTGGACCCTGCCACATCATGGGAGCCTCCGACACCTGTTTCTACATCAACATCTCCAAAGAGGAGAACTCAGCTTTTGTCAGGGGCCACAGAGAGCCTGTGAGGGGCCCCGGGGGCGATTCCAGAGGGGTCCCACAGACAATATATCATGGGCTTACTCGCCTACCAGTGCACAGCATTATAGCCAGCATGGGTCAGTTTGTCAACTCAAATATTGGACGATTAATGAGAATAACAATAATTAAAAAGATTTTCATGACTTTAATAATTAATTTATTCAAATTAAATCTGAAATCATACAGCAAAGTGAATGGTTTCCTTTAATGTTTTCTTAACAAATATTTCACAGGATTAAAAAACTGATAAGAATAATATTTTAAATATTATATTTTTAAAAAATATTTTGAATGAAATGAAAATACTTAAGTCTTAGTACTTGAACCTTATTATTATTATTAGTAGTAGTAGTAGTAATTATAATTTTTTATTATGTTATGTTAGAAATTTTTGTGTAATAGTATTGTATTTTAATTGAGCGTGATCATGGTTATCGTGATTAATAATAGTGATCAGGCAATAATTTTCGCTGTATGAAAGCTTTGTGAAGATTTGAATTAAACCATTATTTATTATAATGTCATGTATTGTGTGCCGCTCACAGTTCAGCTACTCTTGTTCGTTACTGTGATGTGAGATGTAGACTGAAAAAGAAAAACATGCTTCTCAAATTGACTAAAATTTCACTAGGGGTTTTTTTGCAAACAAAATACATCATTTTAGTGCAATATCTCCATCTAGTGAAAAGCACTGGAACTCATGAATCATCTGTCGTCTCCTGGGCCTCCTAAGGTGCTTTAAGGGATTGGAGCCGATCTGCTAATTTCCACCATTTTTCAACAACACTTATGGAGCCGATCTGCTAGTTTCCATCATTTTTCAGTTGAGCAAGTTATTGCATTTTCATGAAAGATTACAACGACATAGATTTTTTATTCTGAATAATTGCACTGATGAATCATGAACTGTAAGACAAGAAACGTGCATTAAAGGGATGATTCACTTTATCACCCTTAAATTGTTCCAAACCTTTATGAATTGCTTTCTTTCTTCTGCTGAACACAAAAGAAGATATTTTGAAGAATGTCGGTTACCAAACAGTTGATTATATATAGTATTTCCATACTATGGGGCCCATCAAATGTTTGGTAACCAATATTCTTCAAAATATCTTCTTTTGTGTCCAGCAGAAAAAAGAAAGAAATTCATACAAGTTGGAACAACTTGAGAGTGAGTAAATGATGACATCATTTTAATTTTTGGGTGAACCATCCCTTTAATAAAGCAAATTCAGTTCATTTTGATTTCATGTACTCTCTTTCGTACTGTAACAGGCACGGTAGCCATAGACCTGCAGGACTCGAGTGACAGCAGTCCCGAGGGCACGGGCCCGCCGGCTCTGGGCAGTGGGACTGTGAGCAGGAGCGGGTCCAGGACAGAAGTGGGGGGATGTAACACTCTAGCTCTGCCAGCCATGGGTGGCTCAGCCGAGGAGAGGAGGCACAGCATCGCCCCCGTCCTGGAGGTGGTTGACAGAGTGCACAACCCTACGTTTGACCTACTGGGGGACCAATCAGAGGATGAGGGAGGAGAGGAGGGGAAGGAGGAAGAGGGGGGAGAGCAGAAAGGCCAATGGTGGGGAGCACACTGCGAGTGAGTATTAGGCCACGCGAGACCATGTTTTGGCCATTCTAGAGTTTCAATAATACTTGGGAAAGGTGACAATTCCTTAAAATAATACTTGAGTATTGAGTTATGAAGTACAATTCACTCCACTGAGCAGAATTATATTTTTGTGGCTATTAAAATACTCACAAAAAAAATATTTAGATTTGAAATTACTTTTTTTTCCCCAACAAGGACACATTAGATTATGGAAAAGATAAAAGGATAGAAAGGGGGTTCTTTTGAACTTTCTATTCATTGCAAAATCCATAAAATAAAATGCATCATGGTTTCCACAACAATATTAAAGGAGTAGTTCACTTTTAAAAAAACTTGTGCTGATAATTTACTCACCCCCATGTCATCCAAGATGTCCACGTCTTTCTTTCTTCAGTCGAAAAGAAATTAAGGTTTTTGATGAAAACATCACAGGATTTTCTCCATATAATGGACTTCATTGGGAACCAAACGGTTCAAGGTCCAAATGAGAGTTTCAGTGCAGCTTGAATGAATAAGGGTCTTATCTAGGACCCTTCGAGTCATGACTCGAAAAAAGATTTGTTCATTTTGATGAACAGGAGAGTCACGAACGCTCATCACAGAACAGAGCAAGGCGAGCATTTGTGCTTATATAACTCAAACTTTTTTATTTATTTTTTAAATGAGCGATCGTTTAGCTAGCCCCTTATTCATCATCTGGTGTCGTTTAAAGCCCTTTGAAGCTGCACTGAAACTCTCATTTGAACCTTAAACCGTTTGGTTCCCAATGAAGTCCATTATATGGAGAATTTTGACTGAAGCTTTTCTACTGAAGAAAGAAAAACGTGGACATCTTGGATGACATGGGTGTGAGTAAATTATCAGCAAAAGTTTTTTTTTAAAAAGTGAACTACTCCTTTAAGCAGAACAACTGTTTTGTGACAAGCATGACTGAAAACACTGAATAATGATGCTGAAAAATTCAGCTTTGTCATTACAAGAATAAATTGCATTTTAATATATATTTACGTAAATAGGAAAAAGCTACTGTTTTAAAAAGTTTTGAATGGTAGAGTTGATTATTGTATGTCTGTGCTCTTGTATTTCTCACACAGATGGGTTAAAGGCTACCCACTAAACTCTCCATACATCGGCAGCTCCCCTGCCCTCTGCCACCTCCTTCAGGAGAAAATGCCATTTTGCTGTCTGCGCCTTGATAAGGTGAGTGTCTGCCTCTCTCCAAATCTTTTATGTCACGCAGTTCACAGACGCACATAGCCACACCGCTCTCAGCACAAGATCCTAACAGCAGATTGCTTTCTCAGGCTTGTCATCATATGCCCTACGAGGATGCTCGCTCGTACGGCTTTAAAAACAAACTGATCATCGTGTCCGCGGAAAGTGCTGGAAACGGCCTCTATAACTTCATAGTTCCGCTGCGGGCGTATTACCGGCCCAGGAAGGAGCTCAACCCCATTGTTTTGCTACTGGAGAACGTGTGAGTGTCCTAAAACCAGAAACACTGAGAAATACTCATCCATCCTTTGTTTTTCACAGCGCTGGTCGCCTTTCTGTATTTATTATGACATAATCATTGTTTCTCCTGTAACAGAAAACTAAAATGGGGAGATTCATCGTCTTATAATTCAATCAAATGTAATAAAACTCTTGTTTTTTTCATGATTGGATGAACACCGGGGAGCAGCTGCAGGCTGGATTTCATTATTTAGATACCCTGGAGCAGGGCGAAGCGGTGCGATTTTTATTGAAATTGGGTCATTTTTGTAAAATACTTGGAAAGAGACATCAGAGACATCTGTAATTCAGTTTGCTTGTTGTTGTCAAAGCATCACCTCAGATTCTCAACATTTCTCTCGGTGGTGTTTGCTAGACCCGAGGCAGACTTCTTGGAGGCCATCTGCTGGTTTCCTATGGTCTACTACACAGTGGGCTCCATCGACAAGTAAGAGAAGCTTTCCTTGAATATATATATATATATAAGCTATTAACATGTGTATTGTGGAACATTTAGTTCTGGTTGTCAAATTTGAGTCCTGCAGCACTGGGACATTTTTCACTCTTTATATCTCTCCGCTGTCTGTGTTTGTTCCAGGCAGAATGTCGGTCTGTGCATTAGTGAGGGGCATTTTACATCATTTACCATCAGTAGGTCTCTTCATGAGTCATTAAAGCGTTCATTCAGGGATTTTTTTTTTTTTTTTTTTTTGTAGTTTTTGAAATTACAGGCTTCATCTCTACGAATTCATAATGCATTGTGTACAGACATCAAATAAAGCTTTATCAAAATACCAGTCACACTTTATATTACATGTAGGGATGGGACGATAACCGGTTTTACGATAAACCGTGATAAAATGTACTGACGGTTAGTATTTTCGTTTAAAATTTAATTATCATTAAAACCATGTTTGATTATCGCGATTTTAATAACTCACTGAATCCCGTCGGCCAGTCTGACGCAGGCGCGCAGCACGAAATATTTTTTTTAAATTACTATTCGAGAAGGAATGGCGGAGGGCAGTGACCGTGCTCAGGAGATTTTTCAGCCTTTTAAGAGGACCAAATCTGAGGTGTGGTCATATTTTGGGTTTTACAAAAGTCCTGAGGGAAACTTGATCGAGGATGGTCACCCTGTCTGCCAAACAAAAAATCACTGCAATAGAAACACTTCAAATCTGCCGAGTCGTCTTGTGTGATCGTCACCAGAACGCAAGGCAAGTTAACTTTGACCTTAAAGGGTTAGTTCACCCAAAAATGAAAATTAAGTCATTAATTACTCACCCCCATGCTGTACCAACCCCGTAAGACCTTCGTTCGTCTTCGGAACACAAATGAAGATATTTTTGATTAAATTTGAGAGCTGTATAACTACCACATTGGCTCCTAAGGGACTGCCTCTTGACGGCCCAGAAAGTCAATGAAGAAAATGTTTAAATATCCCAAGTGACTACCGTGGCTCAACTATATGTTTTTAAGCGACGCGAATACTTTTTGTGCGAAAAAACAAACAAAAATAACGAGTTTATTCGACTATTTCTTTTCTTCCTTGTAGGCCAGAACGAGACTTCCTTAGATTTCCACGACGCATGCGCGAGAATTGCGATCTGAAGTAGTGAAGGCTGGTGTGAGCAGATCGCAAATCTCGCGCATGCGTCGTGGAAATCTAAGGAATTCTCGTTCTGGCCTACAAGGAAGAAAATAAATAGTCGAATAAACTCGTTATTTTTGTTTGTTTTTTGGCACAAAAAGTATTCGCGTCGCTTGATAAACATATAGTTGAGCCACGGTAGTCACTTGGGATATTTAAACATTTTCTTCATTGACTTTCTGGGCCGTCAAGAGGCAGTCCTTTAGGAGCCAATGTGGTAGTTATACAGCTCTCAAATTTAATCAAAAATATCTTCATTTGTGTTCCGAAGACGAACGAAGGTCTTACGGGGTTGGTACAGCATGGGGGTGAGTAATTAATGACTTAATTTTCATTTTTGGGTGAACTAACCCTTTAATACCAAAACTACGGCTGGGAAACAATTGGGCACGAAATGAGTTTTGAGTTGAAACATTTTATGGCACTCACTTGAAATAGACGTCAAGCTTACGCGAAGAAAAGTTCGTAGCAAGTGGATTTGAGCCAAAGACGAACGAACAACTTCAAACAAGACTATTATTAAGAGTGATATTTTAAGGGATAGTAAAGTATAGATACATCACGTATTAAACCGATTTTATTTTTACCACATAATTACGGGAACATATTGAATTGATAATGAGATTAGCTAATGTTTTAAATCTTACCTGTTTATGAATTCAAACTCTGTAAGCAATAAATCAACTCTGATTTCATTTTTGCAATACAATCAAAAACCGGAGATGCAAGACGGCAAGTTGTATTTGAATGAAACAAGAGCGCGCGTCCGTTGTGATATGGACGTGCGCTGTGTAATAATGTGTTGCTATTGACGACGGGCATTATAAAGAAGCAAATGCCATAGAATAGAATCTAGCTTAAAAAACTGCATAGAGAGGCTTGTTTTATTTGTTGTTTGTTGATTTTCAATTATAAAACTTGTTCATAAAAAAATCAGTTCTTTTTGAGCACTTTCATAAATTTTTAACAAAACCGTGATAATATTGATAATTACGATTATTTTGGACACTATAATCGTGATATGAAATTTTCATACCGTCCCATCCCTAACTACTTTTCACTAACAATGCCTACAAGACTATAGGTTTACTGTGTAACACTATGTTCATAATAAGTAAAGTTTATTAGAAGATTAAAGCAGCACTATGTTGTTTTTTTCAACCTTTATAATATTTTTCCAGATGGTATATCGACTTACAATAGGATTAATCAGGATAACTATCCTATGTCTGCTGGTTGATAGTCATGTTTGTTACTTATTTTTCTTGTGAAAGTGTCTTGCCTCAGGCTATAATCCAAATCGATTTTTCAAATTTGTAGATTCATCTATGGTAGCTTAATATTATAATATTGACATCGACATGGCTATTATCTACCAACAAACATTGAATTCAATTAGCATATCCATTATGTAAAACAGTAGCCAATAGGCTAACTTTACTATAAAGATGCTGTCTTATAAACGTGAGCTATCTTTTGACGTTTGAAAAAAAAAAAAAAGCCCATTACACTATATTCATAAGACATGCTGAAATATATGCCAATGTACCTGGGATGAAGACATCTCACACGCAACACTGGAGTCTGCCCAAGATGTGAAAACTCCTTCCTTCTGCAGAGTTCGGGGGTATCGCTTGTCAACAAATGCACGCTAGTGTAACCATGGCAGATTTTACGACAGTAGCAGAAGACAATACTGTTTCCCAACTGTAGGGGGACCCTGAGAGCAAAATTTCAAAAATAACATAATGCTGCTTTAAAGGGTTAGTTCACCCAAAAATGAAAATTCTGTCAGTATTTACTCACCCTCATGTTGTTCCAACCCCGTAAGACCTTCGTTCATCTTCGGAACACAAATTAATATATTTAAGATATTAAGATCGCTCCTGCATACAGTCCATAGGCTTCTTGAGGGACTGGCTCTTGCTGTCCTCGAAAAGTCATTAAAGACATCGTTAAAATAGTCCAAGTGACTACAGGGGCTCAATCTTAAGTTTATCAAACGACGAGAACACTTTTGTGCGCAAAAAAACAACAAAAATAACGACTTTATTTCAACTATTCGTTTATTTCTCCCTCTGCGCGAGTCAGGTTACTAGTTTAATAGCGTAAGCTTCTGTTATTGTACGTCACACGCATCACACACACATGACCAGCGTCGGCCAATAGTGAGCCTACGTGTGACGTAGCTCTACGCAATCACACTACGTTAACTGACTTACAGGCTCATGGAGAAGGAAGTGAATAGTTGAAATAAAGTCGTTATTTTTGTTGTTTTTTTGCGCACAAAAAGTGTTCTCGTCGTTTGATAAACTTAAGATTGAGCCCCTGTAGTCACTTGGACTATTTTAACGATGTCTTTAATGACTTTTCGGGGACAGCAAGAGCCAGTACCTCAAGAAGCCTATGGACTGTATGCAGGAGCGATCTTAATATCTTAAATATCTTAATTTGTGTTCCGAAGATGAACGAAGGTCTTACGGGGTTGAAACAACATGAGGGTGAGTAAATACTGACAGAATTTTAATTTTTGGGTGAACTAACCCTTTAAGTAGTTAAATTGAACCAAAATACCTATCATCAGTTTGGGTTCTTTGGTTCCTTTCGATTCTGTACACGTAAACTTTTACTGAGCTTGTCCCTGAACACTATGTGTGCAGTTTGGATAGCCTTCTGCGATGTGGCGTGACGTTGGCTGACACCATGGTTGTGGTGGACAAAGAGAGCTCCATGATCGCTGAGGAGGATTACATGGCTGATGCCAAGACCATAGTTAATGTTCAGACGCTCTTCAGGTAGGTCCTTCCACATGTGTGTCTTTCTGCTGGAGGCATTGGGGAACCTGACGCTCTCTCCTCACTGTTTCCTAAAGGCTTTTTCCAGCTCTCAGTATCATAACCGAACTCACCCACCCAGCCAACATGCGCTTCATGCAGTTCAAAGTGAAAGACCACTATTCTCTAGCTCTTTCTAAGCTGGAAAAGGTGAGACACAAATGCAATACAATATTTATACTTTCTAAAGAATCCCCCAAAAAAGCTGATATCCCCTCTTTTGCTCCATTTGTGCTGTAGAAAGAGAGAGAGAGGGGCTCTAACCTGGTGTTCATGTTCAGATTACCGTTTGCGGCTGGGAAGGTGTTTAGTGTCAGTATGTTAGACACTCTGCTGTATCAGGTAACCATAAAGTAATCCTCCCATGACTGAATTGATGTATTTTTCTGTCTTTCATTATAATAATAAATAGTTTAGACCATAAAGGGGTGTTCATTTTTTGTGGAAAACCATGACAGAAAAAAAAAATGGACCTGCCTGAAAAAAATAGTCACACTTGTGTTCCTCGCGGTCAAAAATGACCGTATTGGATTATGAATTGGAGACAAATTTCATCTAGTGAAAACTTTTGGTACTGCGGTCAAACAAAATCTTACTGAGAGTAAATTTTTTGATATATCAAGCTCAAATGTGGAACTTATTTAGGTTTTTCGTGCCGTTTTTGAGTAAAACTTGTCTTTGAAAATATATATTTCATATAAAAATGTAAAATAGTACTTTTGTGCATTTTTCATAAGAATAAACTTAAAATTCTGTAAAAAAATTTTAAGTTCACTTTTTTAACCGGCCACGTGTTGTCTTTGAGAAGAGATCAAGTCTGTTCTGTAAAAACATTCAAGATTTACCACAGTTTAAGTTGGAAATATGCCCAAAAAGTTCATAAATGGATTATAAATACAACGTAAATATAATTTTGTACCTTAAAATACCCTAAAAATAAAAAATGTTAAATAAAAAAAACATAATCAAACAAAAATTTTGTACATTCAATTCATTGAAAAAAAAATTATATATATATATATATATATATTTGACCGACAGACGAAGAGCACCTGACGAACTTCAGACCAAAGTCATTCATTTTCAATAGAGCCATATGTGTATGTGTAATTCCGAAAAACTTTTTCGGCTAGAAAGTATGCGACTGCCTCATCAGTTGTGATATATTCTAATTAGAGCTGTCAAATGATTAATCGCGATTAATCGCATCCAAAATAAAAGTTTGTGTTTACATAATAAATGTGGGTGCACTGTGTATAATTATTTTAAATATATTAATACACACACATGCTTGTAAGAAATATTTTCATATATTTACTGTATATAGATTTATGTATAATTTATATTATATATATATATATATATATATATATAAATAGAAATATTTTACATGGAAATATTTTTTTTTCCCCTAAATATACAGGACATGTATGTGTGTGTAATTTTATATATATATGGAAAATAATTATACACAGTGCACCCACGTATATTATGTAAACACAAACTTTTATTTTGGATGCGATTAATCGCGATTAATTGTTTGACAGCCCTAATTCTAATCAAAACTGTGAGCATGAGGTGAGAATTCCCAATGTTTTTCTAGTAAATGATATTCTTTAAAACCTATTTCTGTAAAAATTGGTGGACATTCCGAACTAATTGTTTTATATCTATTAAAACATTACTTTGGTTGATTAGCTTTGTTTTACAATGTATTTCAGTCTTTTGTTGTGTGGATATGTTATGAGGTGGGAGGATAGACGAACCCAAAAGCAGACTGATTGCTCAACACAGAATTTATTCAAGACAAAAAGGGGAAAACAAAGCCCACGAGGGGGCAAAACAAGACTGGGTAACAAACACTAGACTTAAACTGAGGTCAAGACAGGAACAATACTAAGACACGAACAGACTCTAGATTAACAGTTAACTCAAGGAATTACTCACTGCAAACTTCACAAAACATCAAACAGATCTCACGGCAGGTTTCACACAGCAGGGTTTCAAACAATCTTTCACAATGAACCGACACAGGACAGCAAACACAAGGGGATTATAAAGGGGAACAATAATGACAAAGACAGGTGAAACTGACTAGACAATAATCACAAGACTAGGATAACAAGGGGCGGGTAAGTTAACGAGACAACACAAGCACATGGCCCAAACAGGCCATGCGCTTGCACACAAAACATGATTCTGTCATGATCCTGCCTCACAACTAGAGAAAATCAAAGACAAGAAGGCAGAATCATGACAGAACCCCACCTTAAGGAGCGGCTTCCAGACGCTCCTCAAGGGACATTAAACACGGGACATGACAGACTGTGACAAAGACACAAACCAACAGTACATAGCAAAAAGTAACAAAGGCATACAAAAATACACAACGACAGGATTGGGGTGAAACATCAAAAACAACATACAAGGCAGAGGAGGTGGAGGAAACACAGAGTCTTTGAGCGACTGTCCAGGGTGGGTGGGCGGGACAGGGGTCCTGGGACCACAGGGAGTGGACTTAGGATGAGAGGACCGAGCGGGCTTGGGAGGAGTGGTGTGGGACAAGGGAAAAACAGTCCGGGGTTGAGCCATGACAGGGGAGACAGGGGAAACAAACGGAAGTCCAGGGACCGTGGGGACAGGGACAACTGGGGAAACAGTCCGGGACCGGGTTGAGCGCAGACAGGACTGACCGGGGAAACACACGAGGTCTTGGGAACAGTGGAAGTCACAACAGGGATAGCAACTGGGGGTACAGCGAACGATGGACACGAAGCTGGACTCATGACGGGGGGTGTGGTAAGAGATCGAAGAGGGAGAACTGGGGCAGAGCTCACCGAAAGTGACTCGGATCCGACGATCAACCTCTCCGACTTGGGAGTGGTGTTCTCCGCTGCAGGTTCAGGGACAGCGCCTACAGACATAGATTCAGGGACAGCGCTTACAGACACAGTGGGCTCGGGACAAGACAGGACAGGCACTTCGAGGATCTTGATCAGACTGGACAAATAGTCAGACAGGGTCTTGGCAGCCAGAGCGATGGGCATCTCCTGACGAGCAGAAACCGACTGCAGAATCTCTCCTGCGGCTAGATCGGCCGCAACTCTCTCCGCAGTGGGCTCTGGGACGACGCCTGCTGGAGCGGGCTCTGGGACGGCGCCTGCTGGAGCGGGCTCTGGGACGGCGCCTGCTGGAGCGGGCTCTGGGACGGCGCCTGCTGGAGCGGGCTCTGGGACGGCGCCTGCTGGAGCGGGCTCTGGGACGGCGCCTGCTGGAGCGGGCTCTGGAAGAGACGGAGACAGAGGACAAGAGGCTCCCTTCTTCCTCCTCTTCTTCCTGGGTCGTGGAGCAGAGGACATAGCCAGGTTTGTGACCGGTTGGGGAAGCACGGCAGGAAGTGTGGTCTCAGTTGAAGAGGACTCCGAAGTAGACTCCCACGACAGCCGTCTCTCTCGCTTGCCACGGAGACTTGCGGGTGCAGCTGATGCGTCGGGAGCCGAAGTGGAGTGAGCCTGGTTCCCCTGCGTAACCACGGCTAAAATGTGACCCTCCGGGATCACTGGCAGCCTGGCAGGTGGTGACAAGCTTGTGGGTGTCTGTGACTCTCTCCGGGATAAGCTATCCACCACAGCTTGAAATGGGCGACGAGTGAGCTCCTCCCGTTCAGTCAACGGAGGTGGAGAGTTGAGACCGGCGATGAAATAGCGAGAAACCAGGACCTCAGGCAGGAAGAATCTCCTTTCTTCAACGACTTGAGCATACTTCTGCAGGGACAACTCACCCTGGGGAGGAAATGGAAGTCTTCCAGCTCTACTATCTGCGATGGCCGACTGCCACCATAATTCTTGGTCAGCCGGTTGTGGTCTATTGGGGAAAGACAAACAGTCTGCTGGGTTCTTTTCTGGTCGGTTCATTCTGTTATGAGGTGGGAGGATAGACGAACCCAAAAGCAGACTGATTGCTCAACACAGAATTTATTCAAGACAAAAAGGGGAAAACAAAGCCCACGAGGGGGCAAAACAAGACTGGGTAACAAACACTAGACTTAAACTGAGGTCAAGACAGGAACAATACTAAGACACGAACAGACTCTAGATTAACAGTTAACTCAAGGAATTACTCACTGCAAACTTCACAAAACATCAAACAGATCTCACGGCAGGTTTCACACAGCAGGGTTTCAAACAATCTTTCACAATGAACCGACACAGGACAGCAAACACAAGGGGATTATAAAGGGGAACAATAATGACAAAGACAGGTGAAACTGACTAGACAATAATCACAAGACTAGGATAACAAGGGGCGGGGTAAGTTAACGAGACAACACAAGCACATGGCCCAAACAGGCCATGCGCTTGCACACAAAACATGATTCTGTCATGATCCTGCCTCACAACTAGAGAAAATCAAAGACAAGAAGGCAGAATCATGACAGGATAGGCTATCCAATCATTCATTTTACCAAGGTGGAGGGTAATAGCAATTGTATGTGTATTTAGTATTGAGTGCAATCGTATAAATACCTGGGGACAATAATAGACTCAAAACTCACATTTGAAACTAACTGTGAAGTTGTGTGCAAAAAAAAAGGGCATCAGCGCCTGTTCTGTTTGAGAAAACTGAGTCGGTTTTATTAGACAAATCCATCATGACTCTCTTTTACCACGCTTTCATTGAATCAGCAATGGTTTGGGAACCTCTCTTTGAAAAATAAAAACTCACTCAAGCAAATAGTAAAGTGATCTAGCAGGCTGATGGGTGAGCCACAGCTCAATGTGGAGACCTTGTATACAAAACAGTTACAGCGCATATTTGGTTTAATCTTCCCATTCAGCTTCTGCTCTCTGGGCGTAAGTTCAGTTTTGTTCAAAGTTCAAAAACAGTTTTGTTCTTAAGTCATAACTATACTTTGCACAGGTGTTTTATTTATTGCTTTTATGTATGTTTTAATCTATTCTGGACCGATAAGAACTTTTTATTTGTAATTTAATTTAATTTTTAATGTTATTTTTTTTTATTTAAATTGAATTTTTTTTTTTTTCATTTACAAATTTGAATGAGGTGTGATGTGTGTGCTCTTTTGTTTTTCCATATGTGTATGAGGAATCTACTGCAAACAAAATCTACCTTCGGGTACAAATAAAGTAACTTGAACTTGAGTGTTCGAGAAAAGGCAGCTTTAGACTTGCCATTATCATCCACTATGACCAACAATAAATCCACTCGAGAACCTGAAGCAATGAAATAACTGTAAGGGGAAATGCCCTGTAAATCATGGCAGATACTATATTTGAGGTGTGTCACATTGGTCACATTTTGTCAGCAAAAAAAAAGTTCCTTTATCTGTTGTCAATAGTGTATGATGTATGAAGTCACTTTCAAACCAGCACCTTTCTGTTTGTCAGCATGACATAGACAAACTTTAACCCTGTTGCGAAACCTGCTAGGTCATAGCTTTCACATTGATGACTGCGTTTTGCTTGTGAAAATTAGGTAAACAACAACAAATGTGACTGCACCTTCACACTGTATCTACACTATAGACAAGTGCATTGAGTTGTTTAGTTTGTTTCAGGAACAGTTTATTTTTTTATTTCTTGTTTATTATTTCATGTTTTTTTTTTAATTGACAAGATCTTGAACAAGATTTTGATGGAACACAATCCTATAACACAATCCCAAAACGATGTCTCTGAGCCGATTCCGAATAGTTTCACAGAAAATGCAATGTTTTAGTTGAACTTGTGTACAGTCTGAATTAAATGTGATGAGATGAGACAGAAAGACTGGAAATATACAAACCCATTACACAAGTATGTCTTTTGTTTGCATTGCTCTCAACGTTGCATGTATCCAATGAGAACAGTGTAATCCAAAACAAAAGAATGACTTTGAATGAATCAGTTAAAAAGTCTTACAATTCTGTCTCAAACTCATGAGTCAAAAGAAACGTTCGTCATGAGTAAAAGAATCGTTAATGAACTTGAATCTTGAAATTCATTAAATTCCTTACCATTCTCACAAAAAAGCGGTTCCTCGCATCAACGAAATGGTATTAACTATGGCTTTTACCCTGACTACTGAAACACTGTCATATTTGCAGAGTCAGTATGTCTGATTTCATCATTTGTGTGTGTGTGTTTTAGTCCTTTGTGAAGGACTACATGATCTCCATCACCCGACTGCTGCTAGGTCTGGACTCCATGCCTGGATCTGGCTTCCTGTGTGCTGTAAGTGCCTGCGGCCCATCCCTCAATCCATAATGAGACTATCACGTAATATCTGGATAATTATGCCAAAAATGATGGTGGTCATAATGAATTTTTGGACTTTGATGATAATACTAATTTTGACCTGATATTCCTTGTAGATGAAGATCACAGAGGAGGATTTGTGGATTCGCACTTACGGCCGCCTTTACCAGAAGCTGTGCTCGTCGACTGGAGACATTCCCATCGGCATCTACCGTACCGAAGCACAGAAACTTCCTGTCTCAGAGGTACATTACGACAATACAGCAAAAACAGAGATATTGGGAAATATTATTAAACTTTAAAATAAATGTTTTCTATTTGAAAATACTTTAAAATGTAATTTATTCCTGTGATCAAAGCTGTTTTCAGCATCATTACTCCAGTCTTCAGTGTCACATGATCCTTCAGAAATCGTTCTAATATGATGATTTGATGCTCAAGAAATATTTCTGATTATTATCAATGTTGAAAACAGTTGTACTTCATATTTTTGTGGAAACTATGATACACTACCATTTAAAATGTGTGGCTAACCAATATTTATATATATATGTTGGTCAAAAGCTCCAGAACATTTATAATGTTACTAAATGTTTTTATTTCAAATAAATGCTGTCCATTGAACATTCTATTTATCAAAAAATCCAGGAAAATCATTCGCTTAAAAATATTAAGCAGCAAAACCATTATAAGTAATTGACCCTTCACTAAGCCACGCCCGAAAACCGCAACTGGCCCACCAAAGCGTTTTTCCACGCGCCTGGCGTATGTTTTCAATTGTTTTCAATGGGAGCGCCGCGTTTTTTAAACGCCATGAGCGTACCGAGGCGCTGAGCGTTTTTTTTTTCACGCTAAAGTGCCGAGCGCCCAGCGTTTTTTACTGGTCGCTGGGAGTTGAAAAATGTTCAACTTTGGATAAAATGCAGCGCTGTCGCACTGTCGCTTTTTACCTAGCCGTCCAATCACAGTGGAGGAGGGGCGGACTAATACCATACCGACCAACTGTCACAACATTCAACTGCTGCGGATATTCTGTATCATAGCAACGAAACTTCTCAACGGAAAAAACGCTGCGCTGCCAAAACGCTCTCAAGCGCCCAAAGCACGGCGTCTTCAGCAGAGCGTCTAGCGTTTTCAGCTGGCTAAAAACGCTTTGGTGGACACACGGCCTTAGGCCCCGTCCACACTACTGCGTTTCCGTTTAAAAACGGAGATTTAAAATGAATACGATCTCCGTCCACACCAGCGTTTAATCTGCGTATTAGAAATACGTAGGACTTCAGAAACACTGACGCAGGGGCTGACGCTTGGCTCCATGATTGGGTGTTATCAGTCATGACGTATCCTTCCCTGATTCGTCAATCACTGTTTACACTGGCACGCGCATGCCCAGTGTTGGTGAATGGTCACGTGATTCGCGTTTTCAGTCGTTTTAATGTGGACGGAGATCATTTCTAATACGCAGATAAAACGCTGGTGTGGACGGAGATCGTATTCGTTTTAATTCTCCGTTTTTTAACGAAAACGCAGTAGTGTGGATGGGGCCTTAGCAACCATAACTAGGCGCAGGAGGTCTGGCAAGCTTTCGAGCGAGGCAAGTGACTACCGTGGCTCAACTATATGTTTATCAAGCGACGCGAATACTTTTTGTGCGAAAAAACAAACAAAAATAACGAGTTTATTCGACTATTTCTTTTCTTCCTTGTAGGCCAGAACGAGACTTCCTTAGATTTCCACGACGCATGCGCGAGATTTGCTATCTGCTTACACTACTTCAGATCGCAATTCTCGCGCATGCGTCGTGGAAATCTAAGGAAATCTCGTTTCTGGCCTACAAGGAAGAAAAGAAATAGTCGAATAAACTCGTTATTTTTGTTTGTTTTTTCGCACAAAAAGTATTCTTGTCGCTTGATAAACATATAGTTGAGCCACGGTAGTCACTTGGGATATTTAAACATTTTCTTCATTGACTTTCTGGGCCGTCAAGAGGCAGTCCCTTAGGAGCCAATGTGGTAGTTATACAGCTCTCAAATTTAATCAAAAATATCTTCATTTGTGTTCCGAAGACGAACGAAGGTCTTACGGGGTTGGTACAGCATGGGGGTGAGTAATTAATGACTTAATTTTCATTTTTGGGTGAACTAACCCTTTAAAGGCTTGCGCCGCGAGAGGACATTTTGTTGCTTCGTTGACCAAAGCGCAAGCGGATCTAGCTAGACCGGAAACAAAACAACAGGCACGCCGCACACACTCATTTGGGCTCGCGAGACGGCCAAATAGTTGGTTAACGTTACGTTTTGAGTGGATGACGAGTGTGAGACGCTGAAATGAATGCCAATAAGAGTCTGAATGGAAATTTTACTTTTAAAAGTTGCTAAAAATTCCATTGACAAGACCAAAGTGATCTGTGTGTTTTGTCATTGTGAACTGAGCTATCATCATCGCAGCACATCCAGTCTGAAACACCACTTGATGATGGCCAAGCACACACACACACACACAGCTGATGCGACCTCTCCACCCCCCCAACCCTCGTCAATATCAGGACCTCCTCAGTATTTCTTTCACCCTTTTATTGATGGACAGCGTTACATTGTGTGAGAGAGTATTTGCAACAAGTTAGAATATTAGTGTGAAATTGAACACAGTATATGCCAATGTTGTTTCCAATAAAAAAAAATCAAGCCGGTCCACTTTTCCATGTTGATAAGAGCATTAAATTGAGAAAAAATAATGGGACAAAAAGAAATCAAGAGACATTTAGAACAGATTAAAATGTGTGATTAATCGCGAGTTAACTATGACACGATTAACCGCGATTAAATATTTTAATCGTTTGACAGCAATAATATATATATATATATATATATATATATATATATATATATATATATTGAAATAGAATAGACTAATTTTAAATTGTAATAATATATCTACCAGTTTATTTTTACTTTATAAATGCAGCCTTGATGATCAAAAGAGATTTCTTGCACACACAAAAAAAAATCTTAATTCCAATCTTTTGTCATTATTGTGTTTCTGTGGAGGAATCACTCCTCTGTGTGGCTTGTCTCAGTCTCAGGTGTCCATCACTGTGGAGGATTACGAGGATACGCGGGAGCCCCGTGAGCCTCTGCTCTGCCGCTCCGGTCTTCACCGTAACTCAACATCATCCGAGCCGCCCTCCTCGTCCTCCTCATCATCACAGGCCATGGACCACCCGCTCCTGAGGAGAAAGAGCATGCAGTGGGCACGTCGATTGAGTCGTAAAGGTGGACGGGGCTCCAGCGGGGCCAAGGGCGTCGGGAGCGCTGCGGAGCGCATCAGCCAGCAGAGACTCAGCCTGTTCCGCCGCTCCGAGAGGCAGGAGCTCAACGCTCTGGTCCGCACACGCATGAAGCACCTGGGCCTCTCGCCGTCTGGATTTAGTGAGTGTGCACACCGCTGCTTCTTCAGACTGGGTGATGTACTGTAGCTAAAAAATATAATATTGCATATCTACTATCTTTTTCAGAATCAGAATCAGAAAGAGCTTTATTACCAAGTATGTTTGCACACTCAAGGAATTTGTTTTGATAACAGAAGAAGCTTACAGTACACCGAGACAACAGCACAGATAGTAAAATGACAAAAATAAAGACTAAAGAGATATATATGATATAAGATACACATATACAGCACCCCTGTTTTATACATTGATTATAATAAGAAATGCGTCTTGAGCAGCAAATCTGCCTATAAGAATGATTTCTGTGATCAAGTGAATGCATGAGACTGTATAAGTGTAATAAAAAAATACAACAATAATTTTTATATTATATTTATGTCCTCTCGGTGCACCAATGCTTCTTTCACATCATTTCACGCTCAAAAAAATAATAATTAGGCCTAAATTTAAAATGTATGACTTGAATTGGATAGAAAATGTCAATCCATTTGGATTACACAGTTTTAACATAAACAAACTGATATTCTTAATGTGATTGCATATTTCATCATATATTATCGTACAAAAAAGAAAAATCATGGCATGGTTTATTATTAACTATTTGTATATATTTGATTTAAATAATCATATATTCAAATGGCCTAGAATCAGCATCAGTCTGTTCACTGTGAAAAAACTAATTATGAAAATAGTTTTAAATATGGCTAGCTGTGAAACAAGCAATATTCAGTTGGCTAACATGCATGAAATTGAAATGGATTTATTGATGATAAATATATAAAGCTGGTTCCTCATTTAAAACGCATTCATGTTGTTTATTAGTACTATTACAGAAATCTTACCTGTTTCGTACATTTATGACTGACAAATGTATGTATATACATGTATATTCGACACTTAAAGGGTTAATATCAACATTAGGCTTATTAGTTTATGTTAAAACTGTAATCCAAATGGATGAATTTTATATACAATTCAAATACATACAACTTAAATTTAGGCAAAATATAAATATTGTTTTGAGTAAATCATTCAAACACTTTGTCCTCTGTGTCAATTCTGTATGTTCACATTTTGGAATTTTATTTTTGGAATTTGTGATTGATAGTCTTGTGTCCTGCTCTTCTTGTGTCAGATGGGATGACGGACCCGGGAAACAGACTGTCCTATATTCTTATCAACCCTTCCCCTGATACACGCCTGGAGCTCCATGATGTTGTGTGAGTATGGTGACATCACAAGGTAGCATTTCAAGGCATAGTTGGGGTGCTTCACACTTTATTAAATAAATGACACTTTATTTTGATGGTCCACTTTTCAAGTATCGTCACAACTACATGTCAGCTAACTCTAGAGTATTAAATATTAGTAGACTGTTAGGGTTTGTAGGATAAGTTGACAAGTTACTTATAGTCAGTGGAATGTCTGTAGGAGAGCTGAGAGTCTACTAATACTGTAATGAGAGTTACAAAGTTACTTGTCTAAAGTGGAACAACTTAAGGGCGTTTTGCAAGGTTGCTCAAATATATGCTTTATTTTTGTCATTTTGCAAGGTGCCACTAGTGTTGCAGAAACGACATACTAAATATTTGTTTTAATAAAAAAATAGTATATTACCCAATTTTTGTGTGTGCTTTGTATTTTTATGCTTATTAGATTGTTGGATTCTGTTGATGAAACAACCACTTGGCTGTTTGTGCAACAAAGCTTAAAGGGATGCTCCACTTTTTTTTGGAAATAGGCTCATTTTATAACTCCCCTAGAGTTTTACCGTTTTCGAATCCATTCAGCCGATTTTTTGATATTTAGACGAATATCAGTAACCAGACAGTTTCTGGTCTCATTGACTTCCATAGTAGGAAAAAATATATACTGTGGAAGTCAATGAGACCAGAAACTGTCTGGTTACTGACATTCTTCTAAATATCAGAAAATCGGCTGAATGGATTCGAAAACGGTAAAACTCAACAGTTTAACTCTGGGGGAGTTGTAAATTGAGCCTATTTCCAAAAAAAAGTGGAGTATCCCTTTAACTTGGCTCATTAATTGTGGTCCTTCCTGCAGGTATCTGATCAGACCAGATCTTCTGTCACCAGTGCCTAACCAGTCCGGCGCTCGAAAGCCTAGCGCAGGGCCAGCGGAGGGACACAGATTTGACACACAGGACAGCACTCATCTATGAACACAAACCCTACAGGCTTCCAGTGCGAGAATCACCTCCCGAGAAGATGGGGCAAACTGATGTTTGTGTGCGTGTACACTTGGGAGGGAGAGAGAGAGAGGGAGAAGTACCTGTGCAGATGGGACTGTGAGCTGAATATACACTGTAAAAAGTGATCTTGCTTTTAGTGGCCTTCACTCTACTTTCATATCAACTAATCAATACAACTGAAGTTGTTGAGAAAACACGATTTCAAACAAGGTTTCATTGATTTAACTAAAGGATGCATTTAACAAAACCTGTCAAGAGCCCGTCTAGGTCACATTTCATGCCAAAATTGAAAGAAAAACATACACTTTGCATAACAAAAAAAAACTTTTTAGGACAAGTTATTAGATGTTTTGAATGACAAGTAGAAAACAAATTTCCCGCCCAAATTATCATTATTGTAATACGTCAGGACATTTAGCTTTTTTTCTTTGTAATTAGCACTCTCAATTATTATTTTAATTATATTTCAATTACATTTTACTGTATTGTAATAAAACAGTGTAATGCTACTTACAGTACAAGAAATACTACCATGAAGCATTATATCTAAATTTCAGCTATTGATGGGTGTTTTGGAAACATTTGCAAATCATTTTTGAACCAGTGATTCAGAGCTCGTATCAAATTGCCAAAGTCACATGATTTCAGTAAATGAGGCTTCGTTACATCATAAAATAACAAAAAAAAGCGTAACACATGTTTAAAGACAATACAGGTCAAAGAGAAGAACCCAACTGAAGGCTTGGCTAAGGGGGCGTTTACATGACACCACTTGCAACTAAAAATGGAAAACTTCGTATGCGTTTTGGCCATTCATATAAACGACAATGGTGCAAGGGGGCCTGAAAACGTAAGCTTTTGAAATTGTGTTTCAAAGTGCACGTTTTTGAAAACGATACTGCTATTGTCTGCATATAAACAACAAAAACGCAAATTTGTGAAAACGGTGACATCATGCGCATGCGAATTACATGTTGGAGCGTTTCTGTACGAATTGATTAACTGTACTGGCATGATTAACACAGTGTTTTAGTCATTTTTGCAGATCCTTGTGAACAGGGATAGTTTTGACAATGTTGTTGCCTGTACGCGAAAAAGAAAAGGAAAAACGCTTCCGTTTTTAGTACATCATTGTGGAACCAAACAAGACACAGGTGAACTTAATCAATAAGTACTCACACAAACCAACTAGCCATGGGAACAAAGAGAACAGGCAGGAAGGAAAACAACATAAGAGTCCACACGCAGAACATAACCGTTACATATCCCATATAATATTGTCTTATACTGTATATTTTACATCAAAAACATTTTATTTTAATTTAATGGTAATGTAAGAATTGGTAGAAAAGCGCTTACTTTGTTTACCAGAAATTAAGTCGGCTACTCTTTATTTCAATTGTCCACTTTCTGCTAACTATGAGTTGTCAACTAACTCTCATTAGAGTATTATTGGACTGTAGTAGACTGTTAGGTTAGGGTTTGTGTTAGAATAAGTTGCACCTTGCCCTGCCGGTAACCATTAAAACCATTACAAAATGGTGTCCATTACATAGTGTGTTTTGGGCCATATTCTCTTAGGATGTATTGGTTTGTATAGGTTTCCATTACAAATTTGTATTGGTAATGATATATTTAATGGTTTCCATTACAGTTTGTATTGGTTCTGATTTGTAATGGTTTCCATTACAAACATGTATTGGTCATGATTTGTATATATTTAATGGTTTCCATTACAAATTTGTGTTGGTCATGATTTAAATATATTTCATGGTTAGGACAACCTACGTGTGTGGGTCAGGTTTTGACCTGATCACTCCCGACAAGAGCTGTTAAACCTGAAATCACATGGGACCAATGTTTTGACCAATGGCTATGACCAGTTTTTAAAAACTGTATCTAGCCTATTAATTATGTGTAGCCTACATTAAATCATTATCATCAATCCAAAGGAAACACTCAATTTATTGGAGTCCTAATGGTTCATAATGGTGTCCAGTAGATACCAACATGTAACCTATAATTTTCAAAGGTGTTCTATTGGTCCTTAATGGTATCCAATGGGCTATATGCACGCATAAGTTCCACATTTGACGTAAGGATGCTCGTCCATTTCCGGTTATGGAGATTAAAGCGGAGGAAAACGGGATTATGGCAGAATCTTCAAAATTTACTGTCCTCCCGTCTTTGAAACGAAACGTACATACGTTTAGATGTAATTTTATATATAGTTATGTTTATTTAATATAATTTTAAAAAGAAGCATAAACACAACGAGGGGTGTCTGTTTTATCTGTTTTTGTGACTAACGTTTCTTTAGTATAACCATGGAGTATAAAATTCAGTATAAATTCTCGGTATTACATTGGACTCTACGATCGGCGGAAGTTATCGAGCATCCTTAATCCTTCACCGGAAATACCGCCGTGCATAGAGCCCATAGAAAAGATATACCACCAATAGAAGAAAGCAAATTACCAATAGAGACTTACTAGGACCATCACAGTTTCAATTAAAACCAATACAGAGAAAAAGACAAAACATGCCACCAATAGAAGAAAGCAAATTACCAATAGAGACCTACTAGGACCATTACAGTTTCCATTAAAACCAATACATTTCCCTTTATAACCATTAAAACCAATAGGAATTCTGTAATGGTTTCTATTGGGTTTTTTTTTTTCGGCAGGGAAGTCCTGCCTTGTCCAGGTGCTTGTCTTGTTTTCCAAGATAGAGTAGTTTTTGTTTTATTTAATTGATAAAAAGCCAATTGTTCCTTGCATCATTGAGTCCTCGCCTCATCCCTTTCCCAAAACCTGACAGGGGGAGCTTCAAAATATTAAGCAGACAGTCTACTGATACTCTAATGAATGCTAGTTGACATGTAGTTGCAAAGTTACTTATAGTTACTAGAATGTCTAATGTGAAACATTAGAAAACAGTGTTACCAATAAGTCACACCACGTCAAATTTGTATTGTTAAAATAAAAACAGAAAGGTTAAGTCGCTTTTGTGCATGTCATATTTTTTTTATTACATTCAGAAGTAATATAGATGACTGGCAAACATTATAACCACTATATACATGTATTATATATTTATGTCACAGCATATTTCAGATAATGAAAAAGTTACTTTTATTTTCTGGAAAATACAGTAATTGTATTGAAAACTATTTTTCCGACCATTATGATTGTTTCATAATTTTTATGTTCTTTATGCAAAACATAAATTCCTTTTTTACAGTTTTCTTGACAGCTTTCGTAAGATTCACCCAAAAATGATTTAAAGATGACTCCATGAGCAACACTGCCCAGTTTCCTAAATAATATAAACACATGCAACATGACATCATGACTTTTGCATAAAAGTCAAGTGGCGTGTTAACTTTACACATTTTGAGCTATCTGCGTGTATGTCTACGCCGTTAAATGTCCGAGCGAAACAAAGAAAAATGTAGATCTACATCTGGGGAGCAATATTTTCCTAGGATGTTAGGGGAAGACTCATAAATGCTATTAACCCCAGTGACGGGTAGGTTTAGGGACGGGGTTGGGGTAGGTCATATATTTATATATACAGTAATGTAACGTTAAGTCAACGGCGTTCATAAAAACGCTGAAAAGCGATTATGCATGTTGATAGCACGCCAAAAATGGAAATACGAATTGGCGTGTCATACATACGCCATTTCATGAGATCAGTCTGAAACACTATTACAACAGTTACATTTCTCATTAGCTCTTAAAGTCATCCATAATTTCTAAAAAGTTTCTAAAACATACACCAAAATTCACATTCCTTTAGGTCAAGAAGCATTGAGTTTGATTCCCAAAAGATGAAAGTGTACATATATGATTGAGTCTCAAGACAATTCAACTGAAAACAACTGAAAGTTAATTTTGACTCCAATATTTGTCTCTACTTTATAATTTGTCAAGACAAGAAGAGTATTTAAACCAAACAATATGTGTTGAATGTCTTTTAAAGACAGTAAATGCATATCTAAAATTGTTATTTTCTTTTATGAAATTGACAAAAGTTCTCCAAATAAAATACTGGATTAACTTGACATCATTTTAAATGATATCAATGCAACTGGATTACAAACTTTTGTACATTTAAGCAACAAATCACTTTTTGCAGTGTAACCTAATTCTTATTTTCTTACAAAAGGCATGGACCTTTGAAAAACTCATTTACATTTGATTTATTTTTGATGCGAGACAGCTGAGGCCACGTAAGTGCATTTAATGATGTAACTTGTATTGTTATTTCTGTGCATGTGTGTTGAACAGCCAACACTGCCAATCTTGACATGGACTGCCAAAGGAACACGTTGCCAAATGTATGTGGAAGGGTTTTGTTCTCTGTTGCTCATGTGCATTCAGTGTCTGTCAGCCGCTCCCTGGGACGATTAGTCAGGCGGTATTACAATACGTTTTGTACACAGTTTCTAACATTCTAACTCTCTCTGGATTTGCATATTGCTTTACAAGCAGCAAGGCAGCCACGATGGAGCTTATTAAATAGCCACTGGACCAAATGAATGATCCGCGATCTTTCTCATTTTTTTTTTTTTTTTTTTTTTTTACATCTGTTCGATTTTCTTAGATGAGGATTCGGGAACAAGCCTTCTGTGTCTTCGGTGACATTTTTAAGTCTTCTTTGAATACAATTTTATTCTGTGAAATGGCTGTTTGATGTTTGCATTAATAAGATTTATTTGTTTTTACCCCTTCTATTGAGATGTTATGCCTTTGCCAAGGCTGATTTTGTTTGATTTTCCTGTTGCTGGCATGCATGCTAAAGATCATGCATGTATAGACCAGGGATTTGTTCGTCCTGCCATAAAATACAGGAGTGAGCGAGAATGTACCGTCCCGCTGCTCTGTGTTGATAGTGCACTATTGCCTTGATTCGGTGCCATTCAAACACGAGCATAATAAAATCAGCCAAACCAATGACTTGTCTTTCATGATTCATTGAGCAACTTAACAGAAGGGTTGCCAAGTACCCCAAACACCAACATATAGTGTTGCTTCCTACCCTATCTTACGACCAATTCGTACGAATTCATACGAGTGTTTAAAAAGTGGCTGCGTAGCTGCTAAAAAAATATGTTCATGATTTGTTATCACAATGTTTTTTTCTTCTGTCAAATCAACTTTGATCATTTATGTGGTTCAGATAACATAATATTGTGAGTTTCTGATAATTAAATCAATCTCCTTCATTGTAGGCTATTAACAGAATTTTTTTGGATTTTTATTTTTTTTTTTTTACAGTGTTGGTATGCTAAAGCATTAAGATATTCCAAGTAAGGGGCCAAGCCCAACCTCATAAAAACTGTCCTATCCACAAGTTTCCTACGCCCCATGAGGCCTTGCGTCAAAAGTGGGCGCGACTTCCGGTTGGAAGTAAACAAAGCGCGATTTGACATGCTTGACACTCGTTCATTCAACAGTTGACAGTCATTCAAGTTATAGCGATCCAAACTAGCTAACGATGTGGGAACACAACCTCAACGAAATTCAAAAGGGTGAAATAACAGTACCTTAACCCTCCGCAGCAGTTGATTGGGAGTATTATAATAACATTATTAATAATCAATACTCATCAAGGCATGGTGACAGACAGTTGTGCGAGCTGACAAACAATTAAAATAAAAAATACACACTTAGTCATTGTGCTTTGTAGTTTATTCAAAATTATAAATGAATGTGCTGCTTGAATACATTAACTGGCACATTTGGTATTCTGTCAACACAGGCTTTGATCCTGAGTTTCAGGAGTAACATCAGTAGTGAACAGCCAATCACATGCTGAGAGAGTTTATAGAATATTAAGAATTTAAACAAATGTACACAGGAAGATTCGTCGTCTTTTGGGAGGTGATGGAAACTACAGTCGTTGGCAGGATCACTCTGATTTCGTTTTCAGCTTATGTTCAAAACAATCACGTTTAAGCCACTGAACTAGTTTAGTCCGATTATGCTTATACAACCGCGAACAGCACATGTTGTCCCTGAGCTCCGTAACGACATCTCTCATAAAGATTTGCGTCTTTAAATAGTAAAATAATTCTCCGAAAAACAGCTAGCCTCTTCGCTAACTAACACACAAAATACCATTGGAATGCTACTTCCGCCGCCTCACCGGAAGTTTCACCCACTTTATTTTTTACAGGAGCGCCCCTCGGAAACTTGTGGATACCAGTATCCCTCTTCCACCCAACTCCAATTTTCTATTGTCCAATTTTGGTGAGTCCGTGTGAACTGAGTTGCCTCAGTTTTCAGTGTTTAGCTGACCTTAGCTAGCCAAGGTTGGACGTGTTGTTCATTCAGAGATGCTCTTCTGCAGACCTTGTTTGTAAAAAGTGGTTATATGAGTTACTGTTGCCTTTCTATCAGCTCGAATCAGTCTAACCATTCTCCTCTGACCTCAACAAGGCATTTTCGCCCACAGAACTGTCGCTCACATGATGTTTTCATTTTTTTTTTTTTTTTTTTTTGGCCAATCTCTGTAAACCCTAGAGATGGTTGTGCGTGAAAATCCCAGTAGATCAGCAGTTTCAGCCCATCTGGCACCAACAACCATGCCACGTTCAAAATCACTTAGATCACCTTTCTTCGCCCTTCTGATGCTCAGTTTGAACTTCAGAAAATCATCTTGATCATATTTACATCCCTAAATACACAGAGTTGCTACAACGTGATTGGCTGATTAGAGATTTGTGTCAACAAGCAGATGAACACGTGTACGTTATACTCGCCGGCCACTCTATAGGTGAAATTAACGTGAAAAATTGTCTATCGCAGGGACTGCACCTTTATTTGAATAAGCAACCACTGTGTTCCAACCATGCAGGTGTGTTATTGTTGCAGTAGCAAGCAGTCATTGTTAGTATTTGAATTGATGGCATAAGTTAAACTGAAAAGTCATCTTGGCTTGTTTTCACTCGCTCTGGGTCTTCATAATTTATCGTTTCCTCTTAACCTCAATAACACATACAGTATGACACAGCATAATACACCTGTGTAAAATGGGTGTGAAGTTCACATAAAAAGCACAGGTAGGGTGACCAGAAGCAGCTTGATAACCATAAGAACATGGCAGCAGTGAAAGCATGCAATATCCTGATCACAGGAGCCAACCGGGGCTTGGGCTTAGAAATGGTTAAGCAACTCTCTGAGGGTTCTTGTCAAAAACATATTTTCGCTACCTGCCGTGACCCAGATGGGCCAAAGTCTGAGGTGAGTTATAATTAGCTAACACAAATAGAAAATAAATCCTCATTTACCTAATTTAACTGTGCAAATTATCTTTCTCAAGGCACTGAGAGAACTGGCGAAAAAGCATCCAAGTGTGATCACTATCATACGTCTTGGTAAATATGCATGTCTTTCTTGGTGTAGTTTACATTTTCGCTGTAAATGAGTTTTGAGATTTACCATTTCATTGCTTAATAATTTAGCACTACTATTTGTTCTGTTATTATTAGATGCTGATGATCCATGCAGTATCAAAGAGTCTGCCAAGAAAGTGGGTTCTCTTGTGGGAAAGAACGGCTTGAACCTGCTTGTGAATAATGCTGCGATCATGATAAATGGCACCGTTCTGACCAGCCGTGTTGAGGACATGAACAACTCCTTCAACACTAACGTGATAGGACCCTTACTGATCATTAGGGTAAGGTAGAAAGGATTATTCAAAGCTCTGAAACATCAATCTCTCCTACGGAAGTCATGAAATGGGTTGGTGCAATGGCCTGCTGGCTACAGCTTTAGGCTGGGTCTTTCACTTTTGTGCTACTGGGATATGAGTGCTTCTGGGGAAGAACTAGTCATTTGATGTTGCAGAATTTGTAAGGTTCATGGCATTGTACCAAAATAAACAGTTGAAACCAGCCTTGGCTGGTCTTTCAGCCTGATCATCAGACCATCTACACCCAAAGACAATGCTGCACCATTATTTAAGTGCGCTACCACTAGTTGCTCAGTAGTGTATTGCAGTTGCTGCAGATCACTAACTAGTTAGTGTACTGGGTCTTTATGTAGTCATGGATCATGACATTGCCCTGTCAATCAGTCAACTACTTTTCTAGACTAGTTTTACTATAGTAAAAAATAGACATGATTGACATTAAGTAATTCTTATTCCTTTATGTAGGAGTACCTACCGATTCTACAAACAGCGGCCAAAGCCAGTGGGACACCAGGCATGTCCTGTAATAAAGCAGCTGTCATCAATATCTCCACTGTGGCGGGGTCCATGACCAGAATGCCTTCCATGTACAAATTTTTCCCAACGTTGTCATATGCTGTGAGCAAGGTACAACAAAGTCTGGCTTAGACACTAGATAAACTGGATTAAAGTCATTGCCTACGAAGTATTGATGGCAAGAGTTGATGCATTTCTCAAATGCGGTGTTTACCTATCAGGCAGGATTTAACATGCTGACAGTGTTGGCTGCTGAGGAGTTAAAGCCGAGTGAGATCCTCTGCATGGCCCTTCATCCAGGATGGGTGAGGACTGAACTAGGTGGAGAAAAGGTGAGTGTAGATTCCTTAAGTCCATGTTCATTTAATGTTACTTTCAATTACAGAAATTTTGATTTTAAAAATCATTTAGATCCCTTTTCTTTATTCGCTGATCACACAAATCCATTGGATCACACTGACTGGTGTGGTTATGCCATGTGTGTTTGGTTTTTTTTAACAGGCAACACTTGAACCAAAAGAAAGCGTGGAAGGGATGTTCCGTGTCATTGGCAGCCTTACTGAGAAGCAGCACGGCGGATTCTTGGACTACACTGGAGAAACATTGCCCTGGTAAAACAGAGGAACAAAATTTCTCCAATCATCAAAAGGCTGATCCAGATGCCATATTTTTACCCCGTTTTTAAATGTAAAACACTTCAAATCAACATGGGATCTAACAGCTCAATCTCAATTTAAGAGCAAATTTTGAATCCCTATAATCTCAGTAAATCAAATAAATGTTGTGTGTAAAATTATTAACCTCTATACACTGTCCATTTAGAAGGAAATACCTTTGAAAGTGATGCAAGTTGGAGATCAAGAAGAATCTCCCATATTTACTCACAACTGTCAAGTTTAAGAGTGAGTCTAGACGTTAGCCTGTGCTGTTGTGAATCACGTGGCCTGAGTTTCCTATTTCCACAACTGCAAACGATGCAACCCTTCACTTGGCGGAGGTCTCCGCCATGAGGCTGCTGTTCCTCGTGGCCTTTGATTCATGCGGGTCAAACTGTCACTGTCTGCGTTGTTTATTCTTGACACATTCACTCTGACATGAACCACAGAAGAGTGTATTTCCTGTGTTTCAACTCAAGTCAAGTCACCTTTATAGCGCTTTATTCAATACAGATTGTTTCAAAGCAGCTTTACAGGAATAAACAGCACTGCAATGATGCATGATTCCGTCTTTGGTTTCCTTTTGTCTCCAGAACTGTGTCCAAAGTCCCCTATAGCATATGTATGGGTTGTACACTTTTTCAGTGCATTCAGGATTGAATGAGTGCACTAGATGTTTTCGGACACCTCTACAAAATGTCTTGAAAGGTTTACATAATAGCTAAAAATGTCTCTATTTTTACTTCTGCAACTGTTGAGCTCTGTTACCCAATAAAATAACTGGTTCCCTTTCTGAACAAGGCCCCTTGAATTATCGTATTAGAATTGCGGTTCAACTAATTCACAGGAGTTGTGTGGATTGTTTTTATAAGTCTGCCACTCAACAAAGTTTTGAATGCAAGTGTATACTTATTTCTTTTGTTTTCTGCAGCTTTCACAGAAACTGCTGTAGCTTTATTTCTGTGAGTGTCTATATTTGTGTTGGGTCAAGCTGAAATCATAATGCATCATAGCTTCACTGTCTCTCTCACTGTTTGTTTTATGTCAGTTATCTTTCCTCCTTGGGTTGTTGCGGGGGAAGCATTAGGCATCTGTGAGGTGTTTATTTACTCTAATATAAATTTCTATATATAATATAAAAGTCCTAAAAAGCGACTAAAATGTTTGAAGGGATAGTGTCCAAAATAAAAGTGGAACACTGTGTTCTCACAGTAAAATGTGTCTCATGGAGTGAATGCAAGGGAGTGATATAGTTATATATATATATATATATATATATATATATATATATATATATATAACTATAGTGCTGGGAAGATTGGATCATTTTACGTTCAGGAAACTGAGCAAAACTTTATTTAAGTTCAAGCTTCAACTTTTTTCGTCCACTTGAGTTAATTTAAACTCAAGTGGACACAGTTAATTTAAAGATGCTTAAAAAATAATAATAATAAAATAAAATAATTGCAACTTTGGACATTGACCCCTGGTTTCACAGACCAGGCTTATCCTCTGACTAAAATGCTTATTTGAACTGTTTTAAAGGAGTAGTTCACTTTTTAAAAAAAACTTTTGCTGATAATGTATTCACCCCCATGTCATCCAAGATGTCCATGTCTTTCTTTCTTCAGTCGAAAATAAATTAAGGTTTTTGATGAAAACATTCCAGCATTTTTCTCCATATAATGCACTTCAGTGGGAACCAAACGGTTCAAGGTCCAAAAGATAGTTTCAGTACAAACTGCAAATTGTTTAAAGGGCTTTAAACGATTCCAGACGATGAATAAGGGTCTTATCAAGCGAAACGATCGCTAGTTTAACAAATAAATAACAAAGTTTAAGTTTTATAAGCTCAAATACTCGCCTTGCTCTGTTCTGTGACGCACGTTTGTGACTCTCCTGTTTGAACTCGATCATCAAAATGAACAAATCTTTTTCCCAGTCATTTGGTTCATTCAATGAACGAAACGAACGAATTTACTTTCGAAAAACGAAAAAACATTCTTTCATTTGATGAACGTAACACACAGATGCACATGGGTGCAGCGCTAATTCTGTGCCAATTTGATCTAATATTTGATGCCTTAAATGTGTGTAGATTTAAAGGGTACATTTCATGCTTTTAAATCATTCATTTTTACATATAAATCATACCGTTGTGGTCTATATAAAACATAACTGCAATGCTTGGGTCTGAATTCCTCATTATAATAGCTCCACAAGCCCCTTTTCTACCCCTTTTCTGATGTGCGTCTTTGAGCGACCCGTTTCAAAACGGCCCCTTTAAATAAAAAGTAGATGTGTCATACCCCGCCCGCTCTCCAGGTCGATGATTTCACGGTCAGTTCAACTCCCCACGCCATTATTGTAGTTTGATTAGAGATATACGATTATATATGATACCTTCAAAGAACATTTTTATTCACACGTTAATAAATTAATTGTTTGTGGTTAAAAAAAATATGACCAGGAAATGAGGATTGCTACTTAATTCAGTTTTGTTCAAACTAATTGATGCAACAGTTTTTCAATAACTGAATAATATGTAAAAGTATGGTTTTTGGTTTTTATGAATGAGTTTTTATGAATGAATGGCTTTGTCCGAAATAGAAAACTTCCCTACTATGCGAAAAAAAAGTATGCGAGCATAGTAGGCCTATGTCTGAAATCAAACAGTAGGCGAATGTATTTGGATGACCTACTATTTCCGGCTAGATTCTGAAGTGTGCATATACGATGGACACTTTACTATCCCATGCCACGGGAGAGTTGTTATATTTGAAAATGCGTGCGGAATCCAGAGACACGGCTGTAACGTTAGGAGATAAACACAGACACACGTATTGATTCATTCATGTTTATTTATCGATGGTAATATCACAAGCACATAAATTTTCCTTCTTTTTCCTTGCCAAAAATCAACATCTGACATTGTTCATAGGTTGTGTGTGTGTTTTATGAGGTAAAATTTATTAGGTAAATAAATGTTATTTGAGAAATTTCGCAAAAGGCGTGATCTGCGAGCAGCTGACCGACGCCTCCTCTTGATTGTCGCCTCAGACGACGTAAAAACGCAGATGAAAACAGAAAGCAGAACTAAAAACAGTGCGACGTTGGTGCAGTCACTGGAATCATAGATATCATATATATATATATATATATATATATATATATATTAAGTAGTGTAATTCAACAGGCTTTTTTGCTTCAAAAACATTTGGCATTATTTTACTTCCATATGGTACCTCTCGTCCAGGTCGTTCGTTCTTTTGTCACATTATGTAGCTAAACAGAATTGATTTTATGTGTGTCCTTGAATAAAAAAAAAAAAGACGAACATTATTGTGACAACTCTCAAGTCATTTAATAGATTAGAATCTCTATGATTTGAATTGTTAAGGATCGACTCAGACCGAACAGGCTCTAAAATATGGGTGAGGCGATCTTTATCCTCAATCGCACTATGACACAGCACAATATTACAATATGTTAAAAGGAGGTTATTCTCTTGGTTGCACGTACAACACAAGGCAGACAGAAGCATATTGAAAACCTTAAGAACATGGCAGCAGTGAAAGCATGCAATATCCTGATCACAGGAGCCAACAGGGGCTTGGGCTTAGAAATGGTTAAGCAACTCTCTGAGGATTCTTGTCCAAAACGTCATATTTTTGCTACCTCCCGTGACCCAGATGGGCCAAAGTCTGAGGTGAGTTATAACAAAGTCCTGTATACTATATAAATAGTCTCTTGTTATAAACAGCTAGATAGATGATAGCAGGAGAAACCCTATTTTACCTTGTTTTTATTATGCATAATCTTTCTTAAGGCACTGAGAGAACTGGTGAAAAAGCATCCAAGTGTGATCACTATCATACGTCTTGGTAAATGTGCATGTCTTTCTTGGTGCATTTGATATTTTTTTTACTGGAAGTTATGCTCATATCATTTATTTTTGAGAGTCATATTTGTATTGTAGAATAGCACTGCTATTTGTTCTGTTATTATTAGATGCTGATGATCCATCCAGTATCAAAGAGTCTGCCAAGAAAGTGGGTTCTCTTGTGGGAAAGAACGGCTTGAACCTGCTTGTGAATAATGCTGCGATCGTGGCAAAAGGCACCGTTCTGACCAGCCGTGTTGAGGACATGAAAAACACCTTCAACACTAACGTGATAGGACCCTTACTAATCATTATGGTAATGTAAAGAACATTATTAAATGTGAAACAACAATTTGTCCATTGCAAATTATGTGTTGGTGCAGGTGCATGCTGGTTTACCTTTAAGGCTGGCACTGTTGGCACTGTAACTTAAAAAAGTTCTGAACTAGTCACTGGATGTGCCAGAGTTTGTAAGGTTCATGGCATTGTACCAAAATAAAAGCTTAAACCACCTTAACGGATTTATTAGCCTGATCAGGCAAAGCTGTACTGTTGTTTTAATGAGCTACACATTTTTTTCTGACACTAATCGCCCAGGATGTGTGTTGACTATAATAGATCACAACATTGACCTGTAAACCCACTACCCTCATTGAGTATGAGCTGATGAGCGGATATGTGATTCTTTCTTATTCCTTTATGTAGGAGTACCTACCGATTCTACAAACAGCGGCCAAAGCCAGTGGGACACCAGGCATGTCCTGTAATAAAGCAGCTGTCATCAATATCTCCACTCTTGGAGGATCCATGACCAGAATGCCTTCCATGTACGACCAATTCCCAGTGTTGCCATATTGCGTGAGCAAGGTACAACAAAGTCTGGCTTAGACACTAGATAAACTGGATTAAAGTCATTCCCCATGAAGTATTGATGGCAAGAGTTGATGCATTTCTCAAATGCGGTGTTTACCTATCAGGCAGGATTTAACATGCTGACAGTGTTGGCTGCTGAGGAGTTAAAGCCGAGTGAGATCCTCTGCATGGCCCTTCATCCAGGATGGGTGAAGACTGATATGGGTGGAGAAAAGGTGAGTGTGGATTTATTAACAACAGTGTTAAGTTTGTTATACTTTCAGCATAAATGCAGGAAACGTAATTACTTTTCACCTTATAAAAGAACCTTTAGGCAGAAAGGATTTATTACTATTGAGTCCGTATAGAGAGTTGTTCCCTAGGTTTCCATATATAATCCCACTAAACCCTTTTTAAAGAGTGTATTGTAGACTTTAGATCTGCATGGTCAAACATACTTTTTTTTGGACGACACCTTTCACATTACACATTTTCACATTTGTATGTTTAGCCTGGAATTGCTGCTTATGGTATATTATTTTTATTTTGCATGTTAGTGAGCTACATTCATGATTTTATTTTCTCCAGGCACCACTTGAACCAAAAGAAAGCGTGGAGGGAATGCTGCGTGTCATTGGCAGCCTTACTGAGAAGCAGCACGCTGCATTCATGGACTACACTGGAGAAACTTTGCCCTGGTAAAACAGAAGAAACTCCCCCATTAGAGAGGTCATGATCCAGGTCCAAACTTCCTTATTTGATCTATTTGTCATACAAGGGCACACCTACAGTATCCATTAGCACTTAATTTCAGGACACAAATGTCTAT